TTTCGACGAGGTTTTCGCCTACATGTTTCTAACGAGATTATGTACAACTTTCAATAATAAAATTTTACTTATTTCAAATTTTATATTTTCGCTAAATTTCACTATTTGGCTTTTAATTGGAATCTCATAAGACTTCCAATATTTTATGAGTGATTCTAAACATAGTTTTACTTCATTTCTAGTAAAAACTATCTGTTAGAACTCAACACTCAATTTCTCATAATATTTCATAATATTATAAACTCCTCAAACTACATAACACGATTTCAAAACGTGTATGTTACACCGCACCCCCCCCCACCCTTAAAAGCATTTAAAACATTTAAAAGATTGATTATAGGGGTGTGAACTCACCTTATGTGGGTGATTCAATTGCAGATTCGCGTAAGGATGAGAAGTTCCACGAATGAATTCCCGAGACACAAACGAGTCCTAAATGACATATAATGGCATATAAAGTCATGTAATTAGTGTTTTTTTAAACAACTAGTATGGAATGAAGCACCATTAGGGACTAGGAAACACTTGAACTAAGTGTTACAATCATATATGATTGACACAAAGGGGTTTACGGCCACACAAGAGAGTGTACGGCCAAGGGGTATACGGTCACTGAGTGTACGGCCGTACACTCATGGAAAAACATGTAAATGAGGTGTTTGATCCATGGGGAAACTAGTGTGTCTAATGTACAAAAAGAAGATGAACAAAGTTCTCATTTTTTGAGGGTCTTGAGGTGTGTACGGCCATGCAAGGGTGTACGGCCGTACACTCTTGTGTGTTCATGCAAAATGGTTGTTTCTAGGGTGTTAATCAAGAGTTTCTAATGTATACTAAGTATATGGAAAGGATACTTACGATTTGGAAGCTTGAAGGGGGTTCACGGCCACCAAGAACTAGTGTGTGTTCTTGGTGTTCTTGGTGAAATGGATGAAGGTTTGAAGATCTATCATAAAGAGATGTTTTCATGGATGAATCATGAGATGTTTACAAAACTAAGGAGGATATCAAGAAAGATGGAAGAATCACTTACCACTTTTGAAGATTAGAAGGAGTGTTCTTGATGATAGTTGAGAGAGATTGGAAGTTCTTGAGGTGAAAGTGTAAGAAATGAAGAGTAATGAAGGAATACCCTACATAAGGGCATGAGTTCACGGCCACCTTGAGTGTACGGTCGTACACCCATGTGTGCGGCCGTACACTCCTCTTGATGGAGTGTTGGCTCGAATGCAACTTGAAGAACCTAAGTTAACTCATCCCTAAACCCAAAACCTGAATGTACTAGGCTTAGAACACTCAAACAGACCCTAAACAATGCTAAAAGATAGCAGAAATGATTATGACTCTTGATTGATTGGCTGGACTTACAAGGCAAAAAATTTTGGGTTGTCACAGCAAGCAGTATCTATATGTACTCACATCTTGGAGATGATGTCACATTTTACAAGCTGGGAGAGTTGGGTGTCGAAGTCTCAAGGAAGTTGACTGTTGACTGGGTTCTTCAATCACCTTCCAAGTCATATAGTGAGTTCATTAAGGACTACTATGTGATAGACCACGACATGACCCTTATTGATCTTACCTATTTGCTTGTTGTTGCTGAATCAGCAATGATTTAGGGCACTCGTAAGGAAAATTTGATTGGAAGATCTACTTCCCAAACTTCCATGGACATTGACAATGGTAACATTAGAAGTCCAGAAAAGTCTTCTCTTCCCAATGGAAAGGGGTCGGCCATAGTCAACCTGGTTGACCAAATGGTAAAGAGAAAGGCTAAGTCTGAGATAGTCCCATGTACCATTCCCAAAGAGTCCATATGTTTCTATTGCCAAAGGAAGGGGCATTGGTTGTGAAGCTGCCCTATTTACCTGAAAAAACATAAGGATGGTAAAGTCAAAAAGTTTGACTCTACTTCGGGTGAAGTCCACTATCTAGCTCTATTAAGTTCCTATTTTGAGATTCTTATTACATGATGTGACTAGGTCGCATTTTAATGTTTTAAGAATCAAAGAGAGGAAGCTTAAAAGAAGAGTAAGTTGATTCTGATCGTGAAGAACAGAATTTTGAGATGCTGCTGAGAGTTATGATAAATTGCTTAGAAATAGATAACAACATGTTTTTCATTTGTATTTGCATTGTAAGGATAAGTTTTTTTTTCCACCAGTTTTAAAATAAAAGATAAGTTTTCTTTACAAAACTAACGAAGTTTTGTCCTGTTCATACGAAGCCTTGAAAAATATGTTAAACTATCGAAATTTCAGGGGCCATTTTTGTAACTTTTGTCAAATCCTTCCCCAATTTTGTTTTAACGAAATCAGGTAAATGAAACGTACGAAACTTTTTCCTTTCTCTCTCCCCTTCGTATGAAACTGCATCTTCACCATATTAACGAATTCTTCATCAGTTCGTTAGAAATCCTCATCTCCAAAATAACGAAACTTTTTGACACTGATTAACGAAATCGAAGGCATACGAAGCCTTACTTATGAACAGTAACCACTTCGTTCCTTTCAACCAAACTTTCGTAAACATCATTGCTTCCCCAAAATTGAGCCTGTTCGTTCCCAGATCAATTGCTTTGTCCATTCATCAAACAACTTCTATGAAGATCAAAAATCCAGACATAGAGCCTTCGTTAACAGAACCATCCAAATGTTGAGACCCTTCGTTCTTTGCTTTTATACATCATCAATCAACCATTCGATTTTTATATCTCGTGCCATTAACATTGTCGATTCCAACAAATAACGTCGACTATCAAAATCGAATACCAACCCTTTGTTATCGAACTGTTCCTTGACAACGAAACTTAACAATCGTTCACAATCAAATCTGACATTCGTTCCTCGCTAAACCCAATTGAACGAATCTACCTAATCAAAATCAAATTCAATTTTGACTCTAAGTTCATTCGATCCCAATTTTAGACCCTGTGAGAATAAAAATCTTCGAAATCAAATTCCTGACTCCAAACCCAAAATGATTCTCTAACCTCGATCAAAAACGAATTCAAAATAATCTGAATTCGTTCTCAAATTTTCTTTGACTTTCAAAAGTCAATCACCCAATGCCCCATACTTTGAAACATCGATTCATCACACATCGACCAACATACTGTCGAAATCAAAATCCAAATCCATTTTGACCTCTAGAGTAATCAACGACACCAACAATCAATCACAATCCTTCGACAACAAAGCCAAGGTTACATCGATTTCAAGATAACCTTTTTGCTTCCAGTTTCGTGAAATCAAAAACGTGACTAAGAGTTACGTATAAACTCAGGAAATCGATTTTCAAACAACTCAAAAGAATCATAGAATACAAGTCAAATCTAAAGCGATTCCAAAACATATCGAACATTAATTTGACTGTATCCAACATAAGTCAAATTTTCGATTTCAATTTAACTTGAATCGAGTTTCAGTTTGTTCTAATTTGATGGATGCGAAAGTTGTTTTAAGCGATGAATTGTAATAAATTGTAATGTGGGCTCAAATTTCCGATTAATGAATAGTGACGAATTCAACAATTGGGCTCAATCATAATGATGAACAGTAACAGATAACTAGAGATCCAATCTTAGACAATACGTATTTTGGGCTCAAGATACAAATTCAATTCACTTTTGGGCTTGATTTAGATTAGAATGAACAATAGGAAATTGATAATCGAATCAAACAAATGAAAATAGGATTGAATTGGGCTCGATCAATGAAAAAATTATTGGATCACAACAAATGGGTTTTTTCAAGAAAAATTTGATCCAACGAGTCAAATGATCACAAATCAAAAACGCAACGCACGAATTCAATGAAAATAAGAGAGATCATAGAGAGAGACTCACCAAAAATGCTCCAATTGTGACAAATGTTGCCAAACCGAGAATCGTTCTTCAAAAATCACCTTGATCTTGAAGACCCGCTCTGATACCAATTGTAGTGAATATAGAACATGGTTTGGCATGCGGAATTAAAGATTGCACAATGAACACGGTGATTTCGGTGTTTAAGAGATGTATTGATTATGTATTGTGTTACAAAAAGGGATCTAGATCTAGTCTACATAAATAACACACACTTACACACTCAACTTTTACACCTCTCAAGCACACCTCTACATGTGGAATAAACCCACCTTATATAGAGGTGTTTACATGTCTTTCTCTCACTCTCTATCTCTCATGAGTCTAAAGGCTAATGCACCATATGCAAGTGGGTCTACAAAAGTCAAACATTTACAAAGTCAATCATAAATAACTTTGTACCCCAACAGTACCTCAAATTGACTTGATCATCGGAGCATCGTTCCTGGACAACCTCCTGGACGACGACTGACGGTCTTGTTTTCTTTGCTATGATTCTCAGGCCCACTTTTTCCATCCCTCACAGAGCAGGAATCGAGTCGGAGACATATCACAACAGTCACATGTTAACTAAAAGTCATCACACGATGTCACCAACACTAGTAAAAACCGTCATCATTGCAAACTATTTTCACACATTTTGTCACTGTTTTACATAAAAAAAAGTGACAAATACTAGCCAATAGCTACGATAGATCATTGTGATTGTAATTATTTTATTATGACATTTAAAAAAAAACATGTGGGTATAAGTGTTTTATGATAACAGTTTAGTTTCATATGTATGTCTAAAATTAATGATTTTTAATATAAAAGAATAACAACATCTGACTGTAAGTATTTTATTATGACATTTAAAAAAATATATAACTAAAAGTATTTTATAGTCACGTTTTATTTTACATATGTATCTAAAAGTAAAAAATAATAACAATAAAAGATAAATAAAACACGTCAGAGTATTTGATGGTCACAGTTGAATATTGAAAAAGTGAAAATACTAAGAATTTGGAGAGAGTGTTCAATTTTTTTTATGTGTTTACCAAAATTTCAATTTTCCCTATTTTCTAAAAAATTTATCATTTTTCCCTCTTTAACCAAAATTTTATGTTTTGATTCCCTTTATTCTAAAACAAATCGACCTAATTTGGAGGGGCTTCGCTCATAGCCGAAGTCTCCTTTTTTTTACAATTCTTGGCCAGGTAGGCGATGGTTACAACTCCTTCTTCGACTCTGACTCTCGTCCTCTATTCTAGACCTAATCGCAGCAAGAGAAGCATCACCATCACCATTCTCATCACATACATCACCATCGTCGGAGCTCATTTCAGAGATGACGTCGTTTGTTCTCCCCTGAAACGATTCCACATACAACCACCGGATTTTCAGATTTCGTATGTATGTTTTTTATCCCACACTTCACCCTTCTGAATCCATCACAGACTCTTCCCTATTTCTTTTTTTGTTCAAATTGCAGATATGGGTTTGAAATTAGTGATGAAGGTTGTCATGTGGGGGGTTTGTGGAGGTGTTTGATGGTCCATATATGGTGGGCTGATGGTTGAGAAATGAGTATTGGTGGTTAAAGGCTGTCGAATGAAGGACGGGAGATAGTCATGTTAGTTCCATGAACATGGAAGAAGGGTGGTGATAGCGAGCTTTATCCCCTCCGGCTAGATCTGTCGCTGAATAACACAACGTTGAATATTATTGTAGTTCTTGCAACCTCCAAAGGTTAGAATTGAAGAAGATTTTTCTCATTTTGATTTTGATTTTGTGTGTTCCTAATAGATGTATTTTCTTTTGTGTTTTGATCAGCTGCAAAGGATTTCCAGCCTGTGGAAGGTTAATAGGAATCATATGGTATTGATTTTAAACTGAAAAAAAAAGTATGGCTACTCCGGGTCGCTACTGTGTTGGGTCCTCAAGGTCAGACCTCCTCAACCCAACTCTTACTGTGTGCTTGATTATTTTTGTTAAATCCCCTATCTTTTTTCTTCTAGTTTCTGAATTCGGGCATTAAATTCATTTGATTGAACCAATTTAATAGCTTATTAGGTAAATTCATTAGATGATCTTGCCATTGTCTCTTGATCAGGTGCAACAATATTTCTTTTTTACATGTTGGTACTACATTACCTCAACCTGTGGAAGGTATTTGATTTTGGTAATGTTTTATGCAGGGGTTCACTAAGACATGTTGTCTCTTCCCCATTTTTCCACAATATGAAGCAAGAGACTTACAGCCAAATGAGAAAGTTATGCTCCTTGCCAAACTAAGGGAATACAAACCTGATCTGAATAATCTAAATAGTGAAGTTAAACGACTTGCATCAAACAAATTAAATCAGACTTCAAGAGATGAGTTGTTGGAATCAGGAATGGAAGATGTATGATCGGTATGCAAGTTTTTGTTATTATTAAATTGAAATGAAAATTTACCTTTCAAAATTACATGTCTTAAAATGGAACACAACCCTTTAATATTGTAACACTCGATTTCCAGGTATTTTGCATTTTGACCCTTAGTTTGAGAATTGGTCACAAATTGGTCACAAATGGCATTTAAATGAAAAGTAAGGGATGTATGAGTACGCGGGGCGTACATGTAGTACGTTGGGCGTATGTAGTCAGAGATCAAACCATAATTTTTAGGGTTTGGACCCTATTTAAGCAATCTTATGCCCCAAGGTTCTCTCATTACCAACCTCTATCGCCCCTTTAAGCACTATCTCGAATCCCTAACCCATTTCTAGAGAGAGTTGATCATTGTACGTGTTTGGTGTATCTTGAAGTAGGAGAAGCTTGGTGAAGGAGCATTGATCAAGTAGGAGCTTGTAGATCCAAGGTCTATCCATCCTTTTTAGCTTTATAGAGGTATAAAGTCTTGACCTTGGCTATTCTATGCTTAGATCTAGGACTAGTTGAATTTTAGACATATTTTGGTCCCATGAATGAGTTCTTGTGAGTAAATGTCCCTCCAGAAGATTTAAGTTTTCCCTTTTGATGTTTATGAGGCTCCTAGTTCATAAAGTTTGCATCTTGGTGGTTGTAGATCAACCATGCGTCAGTTAATGATCATTTGATGGAAGTAGAATGCCAAATTTTGGGTTTGAGTCTCTTTGAGCCATGCAAATGCATCAAGTTGGTGACTTTATCATTTAACACATTCCCCAAGAGCTAGATCTGCAAAATGGACATTTGGATTTAAAGCATTAAGTACTTAATGAGGTTTTTGGCAAGCTGGAGCGTATGTCGGGTGTACTCAAGTGTATGCTGAGCGTACGAGGCTGAAGCCCCGTATTCCCTTGGTTGCGAAGTTGTACGTTGGGCGTACCTAGGTGGTACGCTAAGCGTACTCACCAGGAACCATTTTGGGCTTTTGGTTTTGGGCCACTTTTGGACTCTAGGTTTTGGGCTCTTGTTGGGCCAAACTCATGTTGGACTTGGACCATTTTTGGGCTTCAGGTGCTTTTGGGTTTGGGCCACGGTTAGCCATTTACGGGAAATGGTAAAATGGTCTTTTACCATAGGAGTCGGGATTAATGAATTAAAGTCCCAGTTATGGTTTATGACCTAATTATTAATTAAGGTTTTATATGCTTAGTTAGCATGGGGATTCTACGGTTCAATAGCCAGAGCATCTATTTGTTTATCAGTGGATCGAGGTGAGAATGCTCATTATACTATACAACACTAGGGTTGTATGTGCTTGTTGCTTTGTAACTCCTGTTCTATGCCTGTTTGCTATATGTATGTGGGGTGAAATAGGCCCGTACAGTTGAAATACCGATTGAGTTGAAATAGACCTGGTACAGCCTTGAGCTGACATTTGAGTTGAAATAGACTCGGGGGTGAAATAGACCCGGGGGCGAAATAGGCCCGGTACAGCCTTGAGCTGACATATATGTATGTTATGCGGTATTTTAGGGAACTCACTAAGCTTTGTGCTTACGGTTTTCATTTTATGTTTCAGGTACTTCAGGTTCGAAGGGGTAGAGCTCGGGATGATCGTATCGCACACCATGATTTTCTGCTCTATTTTACTATGATATATTTTTGGATGATTGTTGACATTCTCTGATTTCCTCTATGATTTCTATAAAGATGTTTGGTTGATGGTTTTATTAATACAAAAATGAAAATTTTGGTTATAAACTTTGGGACGTTACAAATATAATCGTTATATAGGAGTTATTAAATGTCAAAAAGGGGGTAAATGCATGAACTAGCCATCTACTTTTTAATGTATAGTATTTATGTGTAAACAGGGGTAATAGGGTATTGTAGTTGTGTATTTGATCCAAATGATGATTTTACTTAAAAACTATGGCAACAAAAAAACTATGAGAGGATTGAGTTGTTATGGTGCTGGAGTTTCTTTGACCGATATCCATTTCAGTTTGGAGAGAGTTCTTATGGGGATATGTTCATGTTTTTCTTGATCTGGACATGTATTAACCATCTAGGTACCGAACTCCCTTCCTTTATGATTTTATTGAATTTTCTTGTTTGCTAATTTAAGGCTTCAAATATGTAGGCATATGTTGATGTTGTTCTTAATCTTGATCCGGTCACATTTCATCACGCCTACACCATGATCGACTTCCACGGGTATACCCACATATTACTTGTTGATTTTTAGCTATGTTAATTATAGTATCCTACTTTCAAGTTTTTCCTATTTCAACATTGTACTTTGAAAAATCTTATCAATTTATAGCTTATTCTTGCATTTTGTGATGAATAATTATGGTGTGTTGAAATAGGAATCAATCTTGCATTTGTTGGTGATCTACTTATGTGGTGGATGCTGTTGATTACCGTATACTAGACATTTTTACCCTTAGGGGTGAAAGTAAGTACACCTCATGTATTGGATCTAATATATATATATATATATATATATATATATATATATATATATATAATAGCAATGTACTTTCATTACTTGTTTAAACTTGTTAAAAATATATAGTTTTTATTCCTCTTTCTCATTCTCACAGGCCACTGATTTACAACGAAGACAAACACACCATAAAGAGCAATTGGCGGGTTTTATGAGATTGCTTAACACACGGTAATCCAACAAATGGTTTTTTTTTTAACTAAGTCGTTAAACATTTATTATATTCTGTATGTAATTGTATTAGACATTTTTAATGTATCATACAATTTGTATAGTATGTCTATTAATTTAAGTTGTTTATCAGAATAACATACATGATGTTAATTGAACAATATTTGGCATAAAAATGATTTTAAGTTGTTCAACAATAGTCATGACAAACAGAAAAGTGTGATTGAATTTTAATAGTAGTCATCGTTTAATCTATTATGTGTCACTAAAAGTCAACAATAGTTATGACAAATGAAAAACATGTGACTAAAGTAAATTATGGTCACGGTTTAATATATTACGTGTCACTAAAAGTCAATACTAGTGATAACAAACAAAAAAACATATGACTAATAGTAGTTTATGATCACAGTTTAATAAAAGACGTGTCACTAAAAGTCAATAATAGTCAAGACAAATGAACAATACGTGACTAGAAGTAGTTTATGGTCATGGTTTAATATATTACGTGTTACTAAAAGTCAACAATAGCCATGACAAATGAAAAAACATGTAACTAATACTAGTTTATGGTCATGTTTTAATATATTACATGTCACTAAAAGTTAACAATAGTCATGAAAACAAAACAACCCGTGAGGGAAAGTAGTTTATGGTGACAGTTATCAAAAAATGATTGAAAAAACTATAAAATTGGTACCTTATGGTGATAGTTTTTACCTACAGTAACGGCTTTTGTGGGTTCTAGTCAATGGCGGAACCATAAAAAAAGTTTAGGGGTAGCACAATGGTTTTTCCGCAATAGACCTAAAGGGTATAATGGTATTTACATCACAGAGTTTATAAGGCAAGGCTAATTTGGAGCTTTGATGCAAAAAGGTTGGCAGAAGACATTGGGAGACAGCGAAACATATATAGAAAGCAACTAAGTTCAAAGATTAATCCTTATATGCAGAATGAAATAGGTGTAATATTTACCTATAGGATGTTTCCATTGATGAATATGTTGATGCAGTTAAGATCCCTATGAATGGCTCATTGCCTATGATTGTGTACTTCAAGACCTTAGAATCTCTGTTGACTAGTTCTTTAAGGCTTAGAGTGATACCAACCTATGTTTCTTCCTAAAATCACCTGATGTGCATGCATAATGTGATAAAGCTCAAAGTGTTGTTATTAGTATCCATTCAAATGTTGTAAAGAACAACAATGTTTTCAATCTCAAGTGTTGTTGTGGTTCTATTTCTGATAAGAGCCTATTGAGGCCAGATGAGTCTTCACTGAAGTTTCTTAGCTCTACTTGGTTTAGGGCCACATATCTTCCTTCTGTTTTGTCAAATTCCCTGTAGATTTTCTTGACTGTACGACACCCAACAAGTCACTATATCAACCAAATTCCCTGTAGGATTTGCAGATGACATTATGTTTAGGGCCACAAACATAATCACCAAATTTAGCTGAAGAACCATAACTAATACATTCACATCGATTTACCAAAATGGAAAAAAAAACATTAAACATGTGTAATTTAGTGTGATGACATCTCTCAATAATCTAATATTGTAGCATGAATTAGTTAAACATTAGCCAAATAACTTAAAAGACTTTAGAGATAAAAAAAAATATATGTAGAAAATGCACAGAGCTTATCGAAATAGAACTGGAATTAGAATATCTAAGTTGACTCATGTAAATGTATTCCATAAAATTAAACATAATTAAACATGATTTAGTAGCATACCTGGATTATGGGAAAACACAAAGACATCTAGCATGACTCGATCCAAAAGAACAACAATTGGGGATTTTGGAATGCGTTGCCTTAGAAATTTAAACTAATGTAAACCTCAACATTAAAGTCGTAAGAAGCTACAGACCCCACCATTTCAATCTCATGGTTAAATGAGCTCTTTATATGAAGTCTAGAGAAAAAGGAAACCAGAAATCGGAGATGACGAATTGGGGAAGAACATGCAAGGATGAATCAATTGAACCCTAAACCAGGGGTTGCACATTTGTTTCTCTAGAGGCTTCACGTGTACATAAAATAATCGGGATTTTACATTATTACATAAAATTTGAGGGGTAGCTCGTGCTACCCTGGCTATTAGCTGGATCCGCCTCTGGTTATAGTCGACACTATTAAACGTCACCATAACTTACCTTTAATGATGCGACCTTTCCTTTCACACTGAATGAAAAAAAAACTATCATAAAATGTCTTTTGTTTCCTATGAAACCCAACTTTTGCTCTTACTCTTCAAATTTTACCACCACCGTAACCCTTTCGTTTCCTCATAAACCCTAGTTTATGCAATGATTTCTTGTAAATACCCAATATTTACAACTCCATATCGAATACATAAACTTGATGGGCAAATACATTTTTGGCTTCTCAAGGCATAGTGTTGTGCGGATAGGAGGCGCGGGGAGGAGGTGGGGGGAGGGGTTGTCGCACTCTCTCTCTTCTTCTGATTGGCTGGAGTTTGTTTGTTTTTTTTTTTTTTGAGTTTGCAGGTTATAACGAGGAAGAAGAAGAATAGATGAGAAGTTTCTGGAAATAACATATTTGGCCCTTATGTTTTGGTCTTATGGCAGAATACACCCCGGCTCTGAATTCTATTCACAAAAATGGTTTCGAAAATTATAAAATAGACACTATACTTTTATATTCCAATTATCATTAAAATCAATTAATTTTATTTAAAAAAAATCAAAAGAAAGTGAGAAGAGTTTCCCCCAATCCTTAGCTTGACTTTTGGTGAGGGAAAGGAAAGCGAGAAAAATGATATTCCCACAAAGAATGATGGGAGTTTTCACCCGCATCCTCTATTCTTAATGGATTTGGTAGGTTTAGAGCTTTAAGGTTCGCATCCAGACCGCCGGAATACCAGTAATTAAACCATCAATCTGAGGGTTATTCAATTATCTCATAGAGTCTCTTTGCAATCATTTTTTTTCTTTTTTTTTACGAAGAGTTGAATATCGGATCCGCAAAGCGTATTATCAATGGCGTCTTCATCCATCTACAATAGTTTTAAGTATGATGTGTTTCTAAGTTTTTGTGGCGAAGACGTTCGTAAGACTTTCGTGGATCATCTTTATCATGCTCTTAAGCAGAAAAGCATTCATACTTACAAAGACGATGAGGAAATCAATCAGGGCAACTGGATCAGTGATGAACTTATCGGATCCATTGAAGACTCGAAACTATATATCATCGTTTTCTCTACAAACTATGCATATTCATCGTGGTGTTTGGATGAGCTTGTGAAGATAATGGAATGTCACAAGACCAAAGAGCACACTGCCTACCCCGTCTTCTATGATGTGGAACCGACGGAAGTCCGCAGACAAAGTGGGGCAGTTGGAGAAGCCTTTTCAAAACATGAAAACCAAAACCAAGAAGCTGCTGAGAAATGGAGGAAGGCTATGACAGACGCATCGAATTTGGCTGGATGGGTGTTGAAGAACACTGACGATGGGTAATCACTTCATCATGTTTTTGTATTATGTCATGATTCTGTGATTCTGGTTGATATGTACTGCTTGGATCTTGGTGGTTTCTCCTTACTCCACGGAACCCCTTCTTCCCCCAAGATTTTGCCCAAATTTTTGTCTTGGTCGACATTGAATATGTAAACATTCCACAACATCACCATCGATAACGCGACTAATTATTTCCCAATCATTTCCATTCCAAGTCGGTTTCATATTTCAGTATTTTCTTAATTTGACAAAAGAGATATGAACTTTCTGTTTTGAGTAATTCAACCCTAGGCAAAAAAACATTTCAACTTTTCTATTACTTTAGTTCCCCATATGCACGATTTTTAGTTTTTTACAATTCTTCCATCATATATCAGTGATATTCTTTCAGTTTGCTTCGTTTTAATCTGAATTACCCTGAATTTGTAAAAGGATCGGGCATGGCATCTCATGTTGAATTTTTCATGAATTATGATTATACAACTATGTTATTACTTCATTTACACCTTATTTGTTATAGATGTAAAATAACTGTTACTAGAGATTGAGTAAGCTAATTAAGTCTTCTTCAAAATACAGGCATGAAGCTAAATTCATCCAGAAAGTTGTTGAACAAATTTCACTAGAGTTACGATCCATAAATTTCAGGAGCGATGAAAATTTAGTAGGCATGGAGACCCGAATTAATGGTGTTTTATCATCTTTGGGAACAGGTTTTGATGACGTTCGCGTGATCGGGATCAAAGGAATGGGAGGTGGTGGGAAGACAACTTTAGCCAGAGCTGTTTTTGATCAAATATCCTTTCAATTCGAAGGTAAAAGCTTCGTTGAAAAAGTCAGGGAAGTATCAAAAGCTTCTCCATCCGGTTTGAATTCGTTGCAAAACCAAATCCTTTCTGATGTCTTCAATGATAAAGGCATGATTGTAAGTAGTGTTCATGAGGGGATAGGCATGATGAAGAGGAGGATGCCTGGTAAAAAGATTCTTCTTGTTCTAGATGATGTGGATCATAAGGAGCAGCTTAAGGCATTAGCGGGTGAGACAACTTGGTTTAAGCCGGGAAGTATAATCATTATTACAACAAGAGATCGGCAAGTACTCGAATCCTATGAAGCAAAGTCAATTCATGACATTCAGTTGTTATCGCATGAGGATGCAATGTGCCTCTTCAGTAGGTATGCATTTGGGAAAGTGATTCCAAATCCAGGATACGAAGAGCTATCAAAACAAGTTGTGCATTATGCTGCTGGTCTTCCCTTGGCCATCGAAGTATTGGGTTCATTTCTTTGTGGTAAAGATGAGGTTGAATGGATGGATGCCCTTTTAAGACTAAAAACAATTCCGTCTCAGGAAATTCTGGAAATATTGGAGATAAGCTACAGTGGTCTAGAGAATGATTACAAAGAAATATTCCTAAATGTTGCATGCTTATTGAAAGGGTGGTCGAAAGCCGATGCAATCAAAGCGCTTGAAAGTTGTGGATTTCATGCTAGAAATGGTTTAAGAGTTCTTGAGCAAAAATCTCTAATAACTGTTAATGATAATGGGTATCTTGGCATGCATGACCATATTGAAGAAATGGGAAGGAATATTGTTCGTCGTTTGCACCCGGATAAGCCTAAGAAACATAGTCGATTGTGGATTAACAAGGAAATTGAAGATATATTGGCTAATAAATTGGTAAGGGTCAAGTTTATTTCTAACTTTGGAACTAACACATTTTTATTTATTATGACAAGTTGTATGGGGATCTTTCTTTGGATTACAGGGTACTCAAGCAATAAGATATATAAAATTCTACATGGAGAAACTCAGTCCGGATATGGTGATGAAAGGTCTTAGAAAGATGAAGGAACTTACATTTCTTCACGTGTCTCTGCAATTTATTGATGCCAGCAAAAGTGATTATTCTCGTCAGAATTGGAAGTCTAAAAATTTTCCTAATGCTTTGAGGTATCTGTGTTGGAACCATTACCCGTATAGGTCTTTACCCAAAAAATTTCAAGCAGATAGTCTTGTTGCACTCGAGATGGTTAAAAGCCAAATTGTACAACTTTGGGGAGGGGGAGAAAGAAAGGTAGAATTATGGATTATTGATTCTTTGCATCCTCATGTGAATGCTATATATCATTTGCTTTGTTATTACACTAATATTCAACTTATTTTTTGTGCTTTTGATAGGCTCTTAACAAGCTCAAATTCCTTGACCTCAGTTATTCAAAGTTAAGGAACCTTGATCTTGGGCTTACTCCAAATATCGAGACATTGAATCTTAGAGGATGTCGTGAGTTGGTGAAACTTCACATGCTTGCTAGATGTTCAAAACTCATAAATATTGACCTCAGTTCATCAATGTTGAGGACCATTGACCTTGAGCCGGCTCCCAATCTTGAGATTTTGAATCTTAAAGGATGTGAGGAGTTGGTAGAACTTCACATGCTTCCTGGATGTTTAAAGCTCATAACCATTGACCTCAGTTGGTCAATGTTGAGGACCCTTGACCTTAGATTGACTCCCAATCTCGAGTTATTAGATCTTAAAGGATGTTCAGAGTTGATAGAACTTCACATGCCCGATAAATCTCCAAATCTTAGATCCCTCGAACTCAGTTATTCAAAGTTGAGGACCCTTGACATTGGGCTAACTCCCAAACTCGAATATTTAGAAATTACATATTGTTATGATTTAGAAGAACTTCACATGGCCGATGAATGTCAAAAGCTCGCATCCCTCTCCATTACTCGTTCAAAGTTGAGGAACCTTGACCTCGGGGTGACTCCAAGTCTCAAGACATTAGATCTTAAACATTGTTATGATTTGGAAGAACTTCACATGACTAGTGAATGTCGAAAGCTCACATTCCTCAACATTAGTCATTCAAAGTTGAGGAACCTTGACCTCAAGCTGATTCCAAACCTCGAGACGTTAGATCTTAAAGAATGTTCCAATCTTGTAGAACTTCAAATGGACGATGAATGTCTAAAAAACCTTGTCTACTTAGACTTAAGTGGTTGTTTGCGGTTTCTAGAGTTTAAGTTTGACATAAAGAATGATACTTTAAGTGAGGACGATTCTTATTGTGGTAAGGGTGATGCTTCTGGTAGTGAGGAGGAATCACTTGAGGTTGGTCCTTTAGCTGAGTTACTCCTGATTATGTTGTCCCTAGATGAATGCCCATTTCACCCCGATAATAATTTACCAAAGTTTCAGCTTATATGTTGTTATAAGGAAGATCGGCCTTTATTGACTAGCAACCTTGAGAAGCTTATTTCTGTAGGTCTGTGTGTTTGCACAAACCTTGATACGTTTTCAAGAAGCATTTGTGGGTTGCAACGTATAAGAAAGCTTAAACTCCAAGGCGGTATTCCAGAGGTCCCCAAGGATCTTGACCAGCTAGAATGTCTAGAGAAGCTAGAATTTTCTTATACAAACATTAAACATCTTCCCGATAACATTTGTATGTTGAAACATCTACAATATCTCAAAATTGATTCATGTTCGTTTCTTGAGAAGTTACCTGAGGATATTGGCCAATTAGAATGTTTAAGGAAACTAAGTTTGTCATCTACAAAGATTAAAGATCTTCCTGATAGCATTTGTATGCTGAAACATCTTGAATCTCTCGAACTTCATGATTGTTTGTTGCTTGAGAGGTTACCTGAAGATATCGGGCGATTAGAATGTTTAAAACATCTCTCCCTCTGCTATTGTATTCAACTTGAGAACTTGCCTGAGGAACTTGGACGTTTAGAATGTTTAAAAATGTTAGATTTAACACATACATTCATATGTCATCTTCCACAAAGCATTTTTTTGTTGAAAGGTCTGCGTATTGTTGGGTCAGGAGAGCTTCTTCAGTCATGTGATTTAAGATCCGAGATACAGCCCTCAATATACGACGAGTTCTTCTATGTGGATGTGTGAATAATGCAGGCACCATTTACACAGGCACCCACAATATAGGACTCTTCTCTCAGTGCATTTCTCCAAAGATTATTTTGAGTCTCCAAAGCCCTGGAAAAAAGCCAATTTACAAAGATATATAATTATAACAGGTACTTCCTCCGTTTTCTATTGGTTGTCTTACTTTGGTTTCAGTTTTCAAATTGATATGACAATTAATTTTCAGCCAAATATATATATGATTATATTAAAAGAAAATACAAATACTATACATACAAGAACCCATGTGATATTTTTGAGCTTGCTTTTGTAGTGTAGCCTATACATTGTTGGTGTTAAATTTGGAGCTTTATTGGAGATAAAACCGGACATGACTTGGCAGATGCAAAATGTGACATTTCTTCTGCTTACATTCATTTTGCAGTCTCAGAGTTTTAGAATGAGATGTTAAACTCCTGATAACACTTGTGGATCTTGTGAAAGTTACTTACACATAAGAATTGTATTACCTTTTCCATTTCTGCATTTGAAATTGTATTTCTTTACAGGGAAGCAATCAAGACACAAGGTGATATGCCCAACTACTTTGGAGAACTATTTAGGAAGAAGCTATATAGCAGATGAGAAAGAGCATTGTTGTCAAAGCAAACCCTGTTCCCAGTTTTTAATCCCAATGACCTCCATTAAAGGTTGAACATAAAAATGTATTTTCTTCTCTATACTATATGGTTTACATTAAGGTATAACAAGCCTAAAAAATTGAATGAAAGTTAAATGTGGGGTCACACTAGTTTCCTTGTTTATTATCCCATCCTACTTTACTTCTTTCTATTACAACATTATACATCCAATATTTTTTTCTAATTAGGGTGTTGCATATTGAAAATATCTACCCGATTGTAGCTTTGTGTTTGTTGTTTTTTTCTTATATATTATTGCAGTAAAAATTGCTTTATGTTTAAATGAAATTGTTATATGCCATAAGTTAGTATATATTGTAGAAAAAAATTGTTTTTTTTCGAACAAATCCTATAGACGAGGTGTATTGAAACACTCTTCTTTTGGTTTTAAGTTTAACATCCTTTTAAATTACATTTTAAAATAATTGAACTTTATTTGCGGAAAACTCTCTTAAAAGTCTAAGTTTAACAAAAATAGTTTAAGTTTCAAAAGGTTATAGAAGAGAGTTAACAATTCAAATATCATTAGAGAATCAACTATCACTACAATGGTCTTCAAAATCTCACATCCTCTAATCCTTAATCACTACTAGAACCTGAATACATGTTAAAAAGTGATAGGTTAGACATTGAAAATGCCTAGTGAGTAATAGGGGAACTTCACCATGTGTATAGTCAAGGATTAAGTTAATCCTTGACCTATGAATTGTTCTCCAAAAATCTTTTCAAAACTCATTAATCATTTTTAAAACTCATTTGATGAAATCTATTTAATCTTGAAACTTATTACTCTTAACTCTTCAAAAGGTTATACGATCTTTGTGGATTGTGTTTTCGTATGAAAGCTACTTGACTGGCATTATTCTGAAACACAAATTGTGCAGTTGAAGATAATGCAGCTAGCAAATTAGCGTTGTTAGGTTCATCGTCGGATGAAGATGAATCGTCTGCGATACTTTCCATTACTATTTTCGGATGTTTTGTAACGTCCGGAATTTATCAGGTATGGTATTGCTTTTATTCAAGTTATAATTGTTAAAATAATGGGATTTTTGGGGCGGAACGTACGCTGAGCGTACAGGGTGTACGCACGGCGTACGCCTATGAGGCGATGATCGGGGGACTCCCATGCGTAC